ATGCTGCGGCAGCGGCGGCGCCCTGGGCGCGGGGCTGCCCTTGTCCCGGCCGCCGGGCTCCTCGGCCGTGGTGGTGGAGATGCGCGCCGAGTCGCAGGCCTCGGGACCCGGGTCCTCCTTGCTGTCGGCCTCCGCGTCGCTCTCGGCCTCGCTGGCACACAGATCTACCCGGAGCGGGGCAGCGACAAGGACCGCAACACGGCGGGCGTTAGCCCCAGGACAGTCCCTGCGCGCGCGCCCCCGGCAGCCCCACCGCAACGCTGGGTGGGGTTTGGGTTGGGCCTTGTTCACTGGTTGGGTGACCCTGGACAAGTCCCTGGAATCTTCTCCCAGCACACCATCCCCCCCCCCCCAGATATTTTCTCTCTCTTTCTCTCATCATTTGCAACAAAAGGGTTTGGAGAGAGACTTCTCCAGGCTTCCACAGTAAGAATCAATCGAGGTGGCCCACCAGGCAGACAGTGGAAGTATGGAAGGACAAGTCACCTCTTCTCATTATAATGAAGGTTTTTTTTTGTTTTAAGGGAGTCACGCAGAGCTCTCCTTTGGGGGAGGCCAAACCCCGCACTTCTCCACCTCGTGTGCAAATGAACTTCTTTTCGGAAGGAAAACGAAGTTACTCTAAAAGTCACTGGCTTCATCACCATTCCAATTACCTGCCCAGCCTTTTGTTCAACCCCACTGATCAAGGTCAGCCCTTTTGGCCCCCGACCCCTTTGGGGAAGGACTGGTTTGCAAAGAATCCTGTCTGCCCAGTGACTAGCTTAGGGGCAGACACCAACACCCCTCACCCCAATCAATACACACTCCCCAAAGCCTCAGTCGGGGCAGAGATGGATGGGTGGATGGGGGTGTCCCTCTGTGCACCAACACACACACAGGAGCAGTGACTACCCCTCTTTTTCCCTCTTTTTCTTCCCTGCTTCCATAACTACACCTTCAGTGGGTTGTCAGTCCTACCACAAAGCTTAAGACAGTAAAGGAACTCTCTTTTATTACACACAGAGAGGGTGTGCTTGCTCTTTTTAAATGCAGAAAACAGAGGGAAGCTCTATCTCCCCACCCCCACCCAAGCAGGCTCCACAGCCCCTCCCCCCCACCTCCTGCCCAGGTGAACTGCTAGCTTTCTAGCTGTCACTTCCTCGGGGCGTTCATTCCCTAGGCCCGAGTGGCAGAGGAAGTTTCCCCGGTCCCAACCTGACACAGTTTTAATCTACACTTCATGATAGGTGGTCAGATGCTGTCTTGACTGGAAGAGCAGAGCTTCCAGAACCTTCCAATAAACTGCCCTCCCTCATCAAGACCTAATAGACCAACACAGCATCATCACCTCCTTCCCCAGCCAAGTGGGGATTTCTGGGAAAGAGGAGGACACACCTGGCTCCAGTTCATAGATCCTGGAAGGGGTCCATGGGCTTCTAAAGGGTTAATCTGGTTGGCCCTGCCCAGGGCGCTTCAGACTGGAGAAGGACCAGGGGGGCCTCCTCCCAGCACCCGGGGTGGCCAGACTTACCTTTGAGGTTTGAGGTCCCCACAGTGGAAACAGCCGGGGAGGAGGCCTGAGCAAAGCAACTGAAGGCGGCCTGCTCGCTAGAAGACTCGTCTGAGGTCCCTGTATCCTTTTTCTGTCTCTCATCAAACACCCGCATGGATTGCAGGGTGAGCTGTTTCCTGCAGAAAAGGATGCCCGCACACCACCCCAACATTACCCAGTGAGACTTACCCATTTCCCCTCTGGGCTTTCCCTAGCCTTTAAACATCCAACACACCTCACCCTGCTGGCCGGCCTGCCTTCCTGCCTCTCAGAGATCACAGGAACCCTGCAATCAGCTGGGCCCAGGGCAGCCACTCTACAGACCCCAGCATTGTTTTAGAACCCCTCTAAGCCTGCCCTCTCCAGAGTGCTGGCCCCAGGGGTAGTTAAGGAGGGATGGAGAGAGGAGGGCTCTATTTGGCATTTGCTTTACGCTGTAAAATCTTGTTTAAAAACAGGTGAAAGCTGGGGCAAGGCCAGGGACAACTACATTGGTGGCCCCAGAGACCAAAGGGACCAAGAGAGCCAAGAGAACACAGTCTCTGTCTGTCCTCAGCCTCCTCTCCCCAACTCCAGGATGGTGTCTCAGAGGGGCAGGAAGTGGTTACTTCACCGTACACTACACTGTAATTGCTTCACCAACATATTAATTGGAGTTCAAATTTATGTAGATGTTAGAAATTGTTATTTTTGAATCCAAGGGGATGCATTAAAAATGGGGGATTTTTCTGGATTATAGAGAATGGTTTGAAAAACCAGTGGTGGGAGGGCGGCCTCTCTCATATAGACTGACTGTCTGCTGGGAAGGAAGGAAGGAAGGAAGGAAGGAAGGAAACATTAACTCAAGAGCTAAGCCAGCTCTGATGGAATTTGGAAGACAAGATGGCAAAAAAAAAAAAAAAAATCCCAAAAAGCAATTGGTGATTGGTTTGGTCTTTTCCTGGGACCTGCCCATGATGAACTTCAACTCATTAGCAATTAATTAGCAATAAATGAGAAGTAACCTGTTAGCCATGATGATTTTCTCTCAGTGACAATTGTTTTAAAGGTAGAATAAATACTGAGCATGCTACTGGTGAGTATGGAATGGGGGGGGGGGGAACGAAGTGATTTCCCAGGGAATTTTCTCAGCATTCATGTTTCCTACCTCACTTTTAACACTAGAAAGTAAAACTCACAGAAAAAGCCATTTTTGGTAACTAACACAAGAAGAAAACATAGATTCTGACTCACCTTTTCTCTCTCCTGCCATTTCCAGTGTCCCGAAAACCTTTTGCGAAAGGGTTGTTGTCTATTTTTAACTGGGTTATCTAGAGGAGAAGACACAAGACAGAGAGAGACATTGGCTTTTCTTTCTAGAATGTTCTCAGGATGTCTCACTGGAAACAGAAGAAATTAACAAGGTGTGCCTGTTCTACGTAAGCTTCAGGCTGAAATTACCTAAAGGGAAGTTTTTCTGTGGGTAGCGAATTAGCTTGAGCTCAGAGAAAGAACCCTCCCCTAAATTTGTCAGGACAGACATGCTGGCAATAAAGAGTATGCTCCCATTTGGGTATTTTTTTGAAACACAAGGTAATTAATCATCAAATATGTTAAGGTACACACTCATCCACTACACCCACAATACACACACACACACACACACAAAACCTTGTCTGAGAATCTAATAAGATGATTGATGGCTTTTCTAGAATGAGTGCTAGAATGAGTTAGAATCTTTTTCCCCCCTTTGGCTGGGGAGTGGTAGTAGCTTAGAGAATTACTATGCGGAAGCTTACAGGTTTTAAAGAACGGAATGGCCTTGACTAGCCTTGGTGCTCATTTCTACGCTCTGCCACTGTCAGGCCTCCTGGTCTGATTAAAAACACTGTACTATTACGTGAACCCACTCAGCAAATACAACTCTCCCAGGAGGCTGGGGGCCCGGGAGGCACCTTACACACCACGCAGGGACATTAGAGCCTGCAGGCTCCCAAATTCTCTGTTTAGGGAACAGCTGCTCCATCTGCTCCTCAGAGACGGCAGAGGGGGCTGCGGTGGATTTTCATGTTTGTTTGTGTAGGAAGTGACTGCAGGTAGCATTGCAAAGGACAGGGTGACATCTTGGCAGCACCTCCATGAAGGCTACCTTGTTACACACCCAGGGACCCCGGATTGTCCCCCTAAGGTCCAGAACTCAGGGGAGCTGGGGTTCTGGGGTGCAGTGCTTGAGCTCATCCCCATCCCCCTCCCAGCCCAGGCTGCCAAGCTGGGCTCTGGTGAGTCACACCCTAAAGGCCATTTTCTCTGCGCCTCTTGTGCTGTTCCCAGTAGCTCTGGGTCAGCAGACCTGCAGGTTCTAGGCCCTGCCTTGTTTTGTTTTTTTTTTCCCCCTTGGGGAGGGGGGTGGGAGGGAGGACCCACTCTTCAGCTACAGGCCCCAGGCAGAAGGATTTTTCCGATGAGGTGGTAACTTTGGCTACCTCCAGGTAAAGACCTCAAACAGTGATGGGGCGGTCCCCTCTCTCTCTCTGTCTCTGTCTGTCTCTCACACACACACCATAAAAAACACAGCAGCATAAAAGGTAATAAAAACCAGACCAGCTACTCAGGCTAGAGGGGGGAAAACCCCCAACCTGAGCTCCACCAAGATCTTCCCTCTCTCAGAATCCCAAGTGGCTTTTGCCTTAACATTTTAGCTGGCTCATTTCAAACCTTTTTTGTTGTTGTTGGACCCTCCTTCTTGAAGAGGAGGATGAACACTGAAATCCACCAGACAAAGCCCCCCACCCCGACCCCCTCCACCGGGGAAGGGCGGCCAGAGGGGAGGTGGTGGAGATGGGTGACAATAGTGAGAGAGTTTCTAGTTGGCAAAGTCAGCTTCGCCTGGGCAGATTCTGCATTGGGTTCAGAGCTGGAGTTTGTAGCTGACTGTAAGTTTTTTATTTTTGCCCCTCTGCCCTCCAAGGAGAGGCTGGGTTAACATAACTGTTCACACAATGGCTCAAGACTCACATGTAAAATACCCTTTAACGTTCCACAGCAACTTAAAGGGCAGGAAAAAAAAGATAGCATCCTTTTATTTTCCTTTTTTTTTTTTAAGGCCCTTTGGGTTACCTTATCATTCTGGTAAGCAGTTACAGCGATGAATTCGGTTTCTGGGAACAAGTAAGTCCGAAATGTACTATAAGGCAGCTTCAAAATGTCATTGGCTCGGACAATGTGAAAGCGGGGTTGGTACTTATGCATGGAGTTCAAGATGGTCTGCAGACACGGGAGAGAGAGGTACATTAAAACAAACAAAAGATCTTTTTAAAGAAAGAAATTAGCAGGACAAACAAGGTGACAGGGTGACATTTCCTACCCCCACCCCCCTACTCCCCCACCACCCACCACCGGGGTACCAGGGCTGGGGACCTAGCTCACTTCCTTAGGTAGATTTCGCTCCGAAGTTATCTTCAGAACAATCTAGATGGCTCCCGAATTTCCACCAAGGCTTCCCCCACCCCACTCTAGCCATCTACCTTGAACCCTAGCCTACCTGAGCCCCCAGATGACATACAACCCCCCCCTGTTAGGATGCCTGATCTGCTTGGGAAGGCCAAAGTCTTAAAAGACAGAGAGAAAAAACATGCATTTTAATTTACAAAATGATTCAGTACTTTCAACGTCCGCTAATTGACGAGCTCAATCCACTTAAAGCCCTGGGAGGTCTGAACTCTGGAGAGAAATATTTATGTCCTAATCAAATCAGGGGCTTCAAATGCAATTCCGGCCCACTGAAGATATTTCCGCACCATTCCTGTCTTCCTGGACCTAATCTTCCAGCTTATTCCTCGATTATCACTTTGTTTATTTTATTGAAATGTCGGAGAGGGGTAGAGGAAAAGGGCAAAGGTCTCCTGCCTCCCCTCCCCCCCACATCTGACTTCTACATGCAATCCCCCAAGCCTTCTAGAAAATTCTAAGTACCCTCTCACTGAACCCCGTGCATGCACTCATTCCTCACGCCTGAAGCTCTCTGAGCCTCCTTTCTAATAAACCTGACTTTGACCTATGCCCAATTGTCTTTTCATAAAAGAAAATAAAAATTTCCCACACGCGTTCACACCCTTTTAAGCCAACCGGGGTCAAAGCTCACAAACTTTTAAAAAAAGCTCTCTCCCATGAATTAGCCCGGCAGGTTTCAAAAGAGCAGATTTCTTTTCCTTTTCTTTTTTTTTAAAGTGAAATCTTTTCCAAACACATCGCTTGGCGACTGACCCCCCCCCTTAAAAAAACTTTCAGTTCTTTTTCTAAACTTCAATTCTAGATCCAGCATCAACTCAAGAACGTGACCTGGTTTACAGTACAGGAGTTTCAAAGTTTTCTGAACCCCACTCTCTTTTAGAACGCGAGGCCTTCCACGAACCGGAGAGAAACACATGATAAACCCTTCTCGAGCTCTCTGGCTAGCACAGATCCGACAAGCTTGCTCTCGAGAGAAGTCAGAACCGAGAGACACGGGGTTTATAAGGAATAAAGGGGCAGCTGCCTTTGGGGAAGGGGAAGAGGGAGGGGGAAATTGAGAAAAACAGAATTTTACTTAAGAGGAAAAAAAAAAGAGCAATGCAACTTACAAATCCGTGTTTGTCGGAAATGTTGTTGGTGAGTTTCAGCTTATGGAAGGTGACCACTTTAGACATCCATTGTTCCCCGGTAGCGGGGCTGTCCGGGTGAATGTACATTCGTTTTGGCATCTCTGGGTCAGCCTTACCGGCCACCATCCACCGAGAATTATGGAATTTATATCGACAGTCGTCAGCAGCTATGATATCCATTAACAAAATATATTTGGCCTTTTTATCCAGGCCTGAGCACCGCACTTTAAATGGAGGAAACATTCGCCTACAATAGGAAAAAAAATAATATTACTAAGAGGAGAGAGAGGAAAAAAAAACCCCACCATACATGGGCTGAGAATTGTGGGGATCTTGCTCTCCTCGAACACTGAAACAAAGTTTTCAACTTTCTCTCATGACTGACTGAATTTGTATTGATACATATTTCCGAGTAGGGCAGCTAAGTGTAAACTTGTTTTCCTGCTCACTGAATGATCAAACAGGCTCAGTTTCCTTTTACAATACCGATACCCCAAGATCCAAAACAAATGGATCATGTTCTATTTCTCTCCATGGTTTAAAGTGTTGTTTGTTGTTGTTTTCTTCTCAACTTTCTCCCTGTGTAACCTCTGTGCTGAGGGGGAAAAAAAAAAGTTGCCTGTCTTTTTCTGGGAGCTGGGATTCTAGCAAAGCGTAGTAGAATTTTCCAGCCGCTACTTTTATGAAAATGTTAAATGAATCAAGGGAATAAATAGCCAGTGACAATCCCTCCCTGCCGAGGGGTTGTAACCAGGCTTTGGACAGATGCTGGGGCTGTGTTTTACAGATGCCCAGCAGATCTGGAGGCCTGATGAGCCACACACCCACCGGTGGAGTTCTTAGCCACATTCCCCCATTCCTTAGATCAGAGACGGCAAGATCTCCTGCCCCCAAACTCTGTTTAATTTCACTCAAGTGCTGGCATTTAGTACTTGTGACTTAAAAGGAAGCATTTCCTTGGGGAAAGCCAGCTCCAAGCATCTTGTGGGTTGCAGAACTTTCTGTCCAACTTTGGCCTCGTTTTGCTCGGAAGGAGACACAAAGCTGGGGATATTTAAGAAGCGGGATTGTATTTTGTATCCTTCCAATGTAATACCTTAGGGAGGGGTAAACTTCAGTGCTCCCCCCTTTTTTAATGAAAAAGAAATCAGTGATTTCAAAACGGATGAGCCTGGAGGCCTCCCTTCCAAGCTGGTGTCTACCAGGCATTACGTAAAAATACGAATTCTAATATTCACAGGCACAAGAAGGCGAGACAGGAACACATCCTTCCGGCTCCTTAAGATTGGCAAACGTAATCTTAATTATTCAAAAATTTCTCGCTCGACTCCCCCCTGGGTGGGGGAATGGGGGGGTCACACACACAGATAGTTGAGGAGGGGTGCTAGTAACCAAACAAACCAAATCACCCTTCCATTTGAGTGACCCTGGCAGCCAGGGTCAAGGCCCCCTTCCCACCCAGAGGCCAGGCTGAAGAAGAGAAATGGGGCGGGTGGGGGATAATGTCAGGTCCAGGGGGGCTAAGCACACAAAGGAATGTCCTTTTAAGTTTCTCCCTGGGAATACAAAATACACCAGGTACAAACTTGCCAAAGCTCAAGCCAGACAGTGTCCGGGGAAAGATCTGAGAGCAAGCTGCCTGCAAAAGGGGGTGCCTTTCTCCCGCCTTGGGGAGCAGGGACGGGGCTGGCTCTCTGGAAGAGCCCCCCCATGTATCCCATGGGTGAACCCCGATGCCCAGGTCCGCTAAAATGTCCCAACACTAGGGCAGGGCCAGAGAGTCCCTGTGTTCATTTTGCGGGGGGGGGGGGGGGGACTTTTTAAGTGTTCGTCTAAGCCGTACTAACAGGCAAAGCAACCATTCTGGGAAGAGAGAGATAAAGACAGAGGTTAAAGGAAGGGGGGGAAGGAATCCTCAGCTAGCTTGGGGAGGATCCCCAGCTCCCCCCCACCCCTTCCCCCGCGCCCCTCACTCACCTTCCCGACTTGGTGATGACCATCTCTGTACCCCGCTTGTGGAACTGATCCCAAAGTTCTTTGGCCTCCAGATGCACCTTGGGGTCGTCCTCCACCTCTTCCTCGGGCTCCATGCTCTTCAGAGGCCTGAGGTGTGCCTGCGGCCCCAGGGACGAGAAGGGGAGGCCAGTCTCGGCCGCCCCCACCAACTGATCCATAATGGGCTTGGCCAGGGCGCCGGGCAGCGAGAGCGCGGCGGCGGCGGCGGCGCCATTGGGAGGCAGCGTGAGCGCGGGGAAGAAGGGCGGCTGGTGACCCAGCACCGCGCTCATGGCGAAGTCCGGCGCCCGGTGAGGTAGGAACGGATGGTAGGCCATGCTTGTCCCAGGAATGACCGGATCTCTCATGGAGAGACTCATCCACTCCAGGCCGGGGCTTGGGGGGTGAGGGTGGGGGGTCGGCCGGGCAGGGGTAAGGGGTGGGGGGGGACGGGAAGCCGAGTCCGCAGCTGCCGCCGGGCTTTTTGCCTTTTGTTGTTGTTGTGAGTGGTGTGGTTTTTATTCAACAGCAGCACATACTTTAAAACAACAACAACACAAAACCAAAAAAAAAAAAAGAGGAGGAGGAGGAATAAATCACAACGAAAGCACTTCAAAGGGAGAGGGGGCGAAGCGTCTCTCTCCTTTGGGGGGGGCGCGGAGGGGGGTCGCGGGGCGCCTGCCTGCCGCCGGCTTGCGTTCCTCCTTCTCCAGAAGTCACGGCGACAACTCAGGAGCCGCGGTGCTGGTTCCCCGGTGTCTTGACAAAGCCGCTCCGGGAAGTGGGTCTCCGACGCGGGAGGCGCGAGCCGCGGGGTCCCCCAGCGCCGCCCGAGCGCCCGGGCGCACGGCTCGGAACAGCACACTCCAGCCCGGCGCGTCCCCGGGGTCGCGCCCCGGGCCCCAGGATCCCGGCTGCAAAGGCGGATCGCCGCTCCGGCGAGGCTGCGGCGGCGGGCGGCGGTTTTGTTTTGGTTTGGTGGTGGTGGTGGTGGTTGTTTTTAAACCGTCCTCTCGCGGTTCTTCTTCCCCTCCGCCCGCGGGGAGATCGCTCTCTTCCTCTCCCTTTCTCGCCCGAGGCGTCTGCAGTTGGCGCTGAGGACTCGGCTTGAACCGGCAGCCGGAGAGCGGAAAAAAAAAAATGTCTCTCCTTTGGAAAACGAAGAGAGAGAAAGGAGAGAGAGGGAGGGAGCTGGGGGGGGGAACTGATTGAAGCTCTTTGCACCAGCTCTGTGAAAACTTGAACTACAGCTTGGCTTCCGCTCGTCCTCCTCTCCTCCTCCTCCGGCTTTGGGAGCTCCGGTGAGTGTCCGGGTTTCGATCCGAATCCAGCTGGATCTTCAGGCGGGGGCTGGAGGTGGAAGGGTGTGTGTGGGGGGGGAGACTCTTCTCTCTCCAAAAACGTGAGCCAAGTCGCTTCCTAAATCTGCATCCGAGGCGCGCAAGGCGTGGGGTGGGGGGCGGCCCAAGGAGGGATCGGAGAGGGTAAAATGGAAAGGAGAGAGAGACAGAGAGAGAGAGAGAGAGAGAGAGAGAGAGAGAGAGACAGCGTCAGCGAAGAGAGAGGGAGGGAGCGAGCGGGCGAGCGGGGAGCTCCGCGCCACCCTCCTCGGCCTCCGGGACTCGCGGGGCGTCTGCTCGCCGGCTCTAGAAGGTCGGGCTGCACTGAGGGCTGCGGGGAGCCCCAGGCTTCTTGATTGGTTCTTTGACGCTTTCGGACCAATTGTGTGGCCGCATAGGCGTGGTTTTCACAGGTCGAGTGCTGGGGGAATAGAGCTGAGTTATAAAAAGAAGGTGTCGGAAACTGTAACGTCGCCGCTGCCGCGTCTACTACTGCCGGTCCGGCGGAGATGTCAACACGACCCCGGGGGCGGGCGCCGCTGGGGAGCGCGCGCGCACCGGAGCCGCCTCTAGGTGGCTGATCCCCGAGATCGCTCCAACTCCCGGGTTTGCTCAGCTCAAGTCTGAAACGCCTCGGCTTTCCAAGCCCAGCCCCCCCTCCCTCCTCCCTCCTTCTCTCCACTCCCCCCTCCCCCGCCCCGATCGAGGCTGGAGGCCGGGCCTGCGCGGAGAAGGGGGAGGGAGGGCGCGAGCCAGCCTGCCTGCCTGCCTGCCTGCCTGCCTGCCAGCCCCGGCTCCAGCTAGCGACGCGGCGGAGAGCGCGCCCCGGCGCCGGGCAGGGGCGCTCGCCTCTCGTGCGCTCGCGTCTCTGGCTCCTCCGCGGCTTCTCCTCGAATCCCAGCAGCCCGATCTCCTCCCCCGGCTTCCTCGGGCGGGTCAGGCGGGCGGCTGAGCCCATTCGATCGCTCGCTCCTCGGTGCCACAAAAGCCGGGGCTGCGCGCCGGAGCTCCCGGGCTAGGCTAGGCGGCTTTGCAGCCCCCCACGTGGAGCGGAGCCTCCCCACCCCATCCCCGAGCTCGGGCGTCCCGAGCGGCGCGGGTCACCCCTGGCTGATGATTATTATCTAGGCTCGCCGGGACCCGAGCTCCCGGCTGAAGCCAGGTCTCCACGCAGGAACGAGGGGGTGCGCTGCGCTCCCCACCGTGCCCCCCCTCCTCGGCCCTGTGCAGAGAGACCCAGGCGCCCCTCAGCCGCGACCTCAGTGCGTCCCCGCGCCCCAAAGACACGTACACGCAAACGCCTCCGCCGCTCGTAATCCGCGCTCCGTGCGCGGCTCCCCCGGAGAGACGGACGCGGGACGCTTCCCTTTCCCTTTGAAATGTATTTATCAGCCCTGGGAGCCCAGGTTTTGCATTCGGATGCGGGCTCCGGGTATTACGCCCGGATGTGAGTGGGTGTGTGGAGGAAAATGGGGGCTGTGAACCAAGACCGTTCCGCAATGCGTGAAGCTGTGGGTCTGTTGTTTTCCCAGCCGCTGCCCTCGGTGCTTCGGGGATCGGCGGAGCTGCGGGGCCGGGCAGGGGCGGGGGAGCCGGTCTCGCTGCCACGGGCCGGGCAGGGGGCGCCCCGCTAGCCTGGGATCTGCTCAGGGCATCGATCGCGCTTCATCTCTGGATGCCTCAGCCCTTTCTCCACCCAGGGATTTCACCGTTCACCAGTCAGGAGGCGAATTTGTAAAACAAACCGTGAAGCGCCCCCACCACCACCACCACTACCTCCGAGGGCTGGAGGAGACTGGTTCCAGGCCTGGCCCGGGTGGGGATAGGGCAGAGGGGGAACCGGCCTAGCATCCTCACGGTTCAGACCTGCCGCCAAACTGCCAAGACTCCCTTTGGCCAAGCAGGCCCGTCCTGGTTTAGATGAGAGGAAGCCATAGAGACCATTACTTCTTTATTTGGGGGTGGGGGTTAGCAGGAGACCTTTGGATGTAAAGTCACTGGAGAGAGGGGGGGTACAGGGCCCAGGGGATTAAGAAACAGCCTTCCTTCAGGGGTGCGTGTGTGTGGACTAAACTGGATCAGCACAGGTCTCTCCTAAGCCAACCTTTTGCCTATGTGCCCTCCCTCCCTAACCCCCAACCTACCAGGCAAAGGAGCAGCGGGTGTGTGTGGTGCCAGTGTGCGTACAAACGCCCCGAGACAGGAGGAAGAACTTTTGAAGGGACAAGAGTTTGTTTCCAGCTTCGTATGATTGACGCACATGGTTCAGAGCGCTTGGCGCCGGCGCCCAGAGATTTCCCTGAAGTCACCGAAGGGAGACGGGGAAGCTTTCTGTAAAACCTGGGTCTGGTCTGGCGCCCCCACCTCACCCCCTGACTCCTAGGGCCTCTCTGCCGGTGGCGAAGAAGAAAAAGAGAGAGCGAGAGTGCAAAAGAAAGAGCCGGTGCCCAGAGTTGTTGGCACACAGCTCCCGCTCCCCTTCCAGAGTTCTCTGCGCTGGCCCAGGAAGGGATGGAAGACGCCAGGCCTTCCCCCCCCCATCGGTGCACAGACTCTCCAGAGGTCACTGAGGGGTCCCCTGGGTGTCTGGAAGGCCAGAAGCACCCCCTCCCCCACCGTGCTCGCTGCAGGAGCTTGGGGGGGGGGCGCTTGGCTGCGCCAGCTTGGCTGCCCCAAATCCTGGCGATCTGGTTTTGTCTGCGCTTGCTGGCCGGCCAATCTGTGCCTGGCCACGTTGAGATCAAGCAATAATAATAATAATAATAATTCTGCCACTGCAAGGCCATTAACCCCCTCCTCTCCCACTCGGTACCTCGAAGAAGGGTGGGACAGTCCACAAGCTAGGGACTGAGACATTTGTATCAGCTCCCCCCAACCTTCTGGCCTCCCATCTGCTCTGAAAATGGAAGGGGGGGACAAAAAAGGGGGGAAAGTTTGATGATGTGGCTTGTGCGGATCTTGTCTCACTGGAGACTCCATCCAGGGTGCATTGCCCCGATCTGGGACTCTGAGGCTGGGTTCTAATTCCTCTCCCATTGCTGCTTCTTTCTGCCGCTCTTAACCCTGGGGTCACCCAGGCCGTGCCTCTCCTGTCTCCCCCCCACCCACCCACCCCCTCTCCTGCTGTACCAGCAGCGTGCCAGGGAGGGAGGCTGGGAGGGGGGGGCGAGGAGAGAGCGTTTGCGGGGGTTCTGAATCGAAAATGTCGACATCTTGCTAATGGTCTTCAAACTTCCGCCAATTATGACTGACCTCCCACACTGGGCCCCGGGAGGCTCATATTATTCCGGGAGGCCACCATAATTCTGGGATCAAAAGCAGGAAGGTGCGAACTCCTCCTGGTCCCGGCGTGCCGGCCGCGCCCCCCTCCTGGTGGGTGATAAACCCACTCTGGCGCCGGCCATGCGCCGCGTGATTAATTTGCGAACAAACAAAAGTGGCCTGGTGGCCACTGCCTTCGGGTTAAACATTGGCCAGCGCCAGGGGCAGACTTGTGCCAGGCCTGGCCCCTCCAGGAGGCCGGCGCGCGCCCACCACCCCGCTGCGGGCTCCCGGGGCTGGCTCCGCGCAGACGGCTTTATTTTTTTGTAGACAACTCCACCGACATACTCTCTTCTTTCTTTCTCTCTCTCTTCGTCTGTCTGTGTGCCTGTCTCTCTGCTCTCTTTCTTCTTCCTCTCTCTCTGCTACTTTCTCTTCTTCCTCTCTCTGTGCCCCCCCCTTCTCTCTCTGTCAGGCACACAAAAGACACTTTTGGAGATGTCAAAGGCGCCTGTCCCTTAGCAGAATCCCCAAGGAGACGGGGGGGGGGGGGGGGTTGGAAGGAAGGAGGAAAGCCTTGGGAAAGATCGACAGCACCTCAAGGGGGAGAGGGGAGGAATTAGGCCTCAAATTAAGATAAAAATTTTAAGCTGTCTTCCATATCCCCCAAAATAAAACTCTCCTAGGAGAAGGACCAAAAAAATGATCAACAGCAAAACGAATTGCTTTCAGCCCCGACCGCCACGAAGCCGGCAGAGAAAGCCCCATCCTTGCCGAGAAATGCCGGGGA